CGAGTCCTGTCTTGGCTGGAAATTTTCAGCACGCAATTTACATCCCTTTTATTTATTCCTGTTTTCCATTTATACACCTCGATCATAAATCCCTCTAATTCTACGCCTTTCGAGAGAGTGCAGATTCAGGGCCCTCAGTCTATCCTCATAGGGAAGATTTCTGATACATGGGATCATAAGAACATAAGAAGATAAGAAAGGAGGAACACTGCAGGAGGCCTGTTGGCCCATACTAGGCAGGTCCATTACAATTCATCCCACTAACAAAACATTTGCCCAACCCAATTTTCAATGCCACCCAAGAAATAAGCTCTGATGTGAAAGTCCCACTCAAATCCAACCCCTCCCACTCATGTACTTATCCAACCTAAATTTGAAACTACCCAAAGTCCCAGCCTCAATAACCCAACTAGGTAGACTGTTCCACTCATCAACTACCCTATTTCCAAACCAATACTTTCCTATGTCCTTTCTAAATCTAAACTTATCTAATTTAAATCCATTACTGCGTGTTCTCTCTTGGAGAGACATCCTCAAGACCTTATTAATATCTCCTTTATTAATACCTATCTTCCACTTATACACTTCGATCAGGTCTCCCCTCATTCTTCGTCTAACAAGTGAATGTAACTTAAGAGTCTTCAATCTTTCTTCATAAGGAAGATTTCTAATGCTATGTATTAATTTAGTCATCCTACGCTGAATGTTTTCTAACGAATTTATGTCCATTCTGTAATATGGAGACCAGAACTGAGCTTCATAATCTAGGTGAGGCCTTACTAATGATGTATAAAGCTGCAGTATGACCTCTGGACTTCTGTTGCTTACACTTCTTGATATAAATCCCAGTAATCTATTTGCCTTATTACGTACGCTTAGGCATTGCTGTCTTGGTTTAAGGTTGCTGCTTACAATAACCCCTAAGTCCTTTTCGCAATCTGTATGGCTAAGTTCTACATCATTTAACTTATAAGTACTAGGGTTATGGGCACTCCCAAGCTTCAGAACCTTGCATTTATCTACATTGAACTGCATCTGCCACTTTTCTGACCAAGAATAGAGTTTGTTT